AATGAGTAGTGTTATGCGTACGACCAGATTGCCAACCAGTCCTATGATGATTTTTCTTCAGACGAGTGCCCAAGCAAAGACAATACTCCTACCCGTTAGTGATAAATCAAGTATTCATCCTACACTAGTCTTGTCTCTCTATACACCCCCCCCCCCCCCAACCCCCGAAAAAAAGAGAGAGAAGAAAATTGCAAGTTACTTAATGTGATTTCAAGCGGTGGCTCGGTGCTAGAAAGCATTCATGAATCGTCAAAATAATAGTACTTCCGCTTGGATCTAGTATGAAAAACTTCAAACTTATTCAAATGCCGAATTAGAGGAGGGGAGGTGGGGAAGATTTGCTATGAAAAGCAACCCAACTAGGGCCCGCTTGAAAGAAGCTGGAAGGCATGCCATGTGGGCAACGAAGAGGAAGAAAGCGCCGTTGCTATCTTGACCGGTTGCTCGCTCGATGAAACGAGCACCCAAATGGCATATAAGTAATCAGTCTCTTCCATAATTTTCTATTCCTAAATTCAGCTTTTTACGCGCAAATAATCTTCCGTCGGCCGTCGCGCGCCCGCTCATCACTGGCAGCATCAAGTCTCTTGAACATACTTCGACATCGCTGCGCTTCGTGCTTCCCCACCGTGCTCGGCGTTGGCGCTTTTGGAGGCTTCTTTTCTTCTCCGCACCAGCAAGGACGTTCCCCCTCTCAGTGAGTTCTTAGGTATGAGATCCTTCAACTGTGTCTTCTTCTAGGGTTAATTCGACGTGTTTGGGTTAAAATGTTGTTTAATAGAATGTATCGGAGGGACATCTTGCTCTTTTTTAGGTATGCGATCCTTTAACCCTCATTTCTTGTAGCATTAATACCCTAACTAACAAAAAAGAATTTTGGATGTGCTTAAATTTTGGAAATCACCTAACTAACAAAAAAAATTCTTGGATGTGCTTAGATCCTGGAAATCACCTAACTATAATAGGAAAAAAATATTGGATGTGCTTAAATCTTAAAACAAAGAATTCTACATAAATTTGCCATCAATCACAACCTCATAGTCCTCTATTTCTTTCTTCAAAAGATATCTTTTTGTTCACGATTTTCTAAGTTCTGTTAAGCTTAACATCACAAATGCAAATTAGTCGTCACATCAAATTTGTAACTTTTTTCCACCAAATCAAATTGCATTTCTTCATTATCCATGTTCACTTTGAGACCCAACAAAAGAATGCAGTGGGCCCAATTCACTATAACTATATACCAGAAACAAAATTCAATACAACTTTCAAGTCATAACGAGACCAATAAATAGCAAGTTGCTTCTCCAGATGTTTCTGCCCACTACCTATTGCATGCACAGGTGATGACTCACACGGGCTTGCTGCCTTGCTGGTTGGGGTGTTATAACAAGAAAAGGGATCCCTAAAAAAAGATTGAAGGAAATGGGAAAAGGTGACAAGCGAGATGGGCTTGCTGGTTGGGGTATTTAGATATGAGGGAAAGGGATCCCTAAAATGAAAAATATTATATTGAAGCAAACGGGAAAAGGTGACATGCAAAATTAACATAGGGTGAGAGAGAGGCTCGAACTCCTCAGGATCACTCATGTTTAGCTAAGAGACCTACGCGCAAGGTTCACAAAACCAAAACCGGTGGGTTTTCTATAGTGACAAAAACTGAGCGGTTCACACAAAACTGAGCAATAACCGTTTTTGCTACAGCACATAGGTTTGATTTTTAGCGAAAACCGGTCGTCTGATAGAACCAGACCAGACCGGTTTAATTTCCTCGGTTTTGTGAACCTTGCCTACGCACTAGCTAACTGCACCACCACCACTTCTGTGTTAAGCTGATTATGGTTTGTTTTATAATCAAAGTAGGCTACTGAGTTGTTTTTTCCATTTTTATTTGGCAAAAGAGAGAGAGAGGCTAAAACGGGCCACGCTACATGGAATCGAACATCACATTGAGCCATTGATCATGTGGCCAAGACCCGGAGCGGCAATGAAGGCGAGTACAATCCTACATCTGTCAAGTCCAATGAGGGGCATACAAATGGGGCGATGGCAATGGCAGAGGAGCTTTGCATGAACGCAACGGCGACGGCTAGGAGGAAAGCGGGAGCTGGATGGAAGAAGACGGAGACAGAGATGACCCTTTTGAGAAAGTTGTTACCGGTGGTGCTGTGGCGGAAGAAGTTGGACGAAGTTGAACTACCACATCCGTTCTAAAATAGTTCACTTTTTGGTCATCACGTTTGACTGTTCATTTTATTCTTTTTTTTTTTGTGGAATCGGAGGACAAATACTTTAGCTATCTAGCTGTGCCAATGCCATTGACATGCTCCTCTGGATATGGTCCCTCGTTCGAGTACACTAGCAAGCACAGCGCATCCAGTGGAGCTACAATATTTGTCCAAATCGTTGCAGGGTCATGGCCACATGGCTTTCACGGCAATTTGCTTCCCGTAGCGCCAGCATTGATCAACTGAAAAGCCGTGCTAGTTGATTTCGGAGGCCACAACAACGTGGCTCTTGGTGATGGTGGTGGCTAGGCTACCTCGATCTTTCTCGTCGAGTTGTTTCTGTTGAAGTTTGTGGAGGGCTGAAGGTTTCTGTCAAGGCGTGCAAAGATGGTTGCATGGTTATGGAAGAGGTTGGCGTTCATGCCTGAGGAAGCAGGGCCAGGCAGAAGTTATGGTGGTCTTCGTCTTGACTCCTGTGAACTGGAAGTCCTCGTCGCCTGGTCGCTAATCTCGCCGGAGCCCGAGCCTGACGTGTGATGTGGTGGCCGGGTTGCCTTGCAACGACGCATGCTAACTTAAAAGTTTCGGAATCATCGGTATTTGTAGCCGGCTGCTATGCCATGGACCATGCCAAATTTTGCACCAACCTAAATGGTGAGTAGTAGTCACGTTCTGCTTGTCGTTTGTTACGGGTACCAACCAAACACAACATGGTGTGGCGTGGACACTTTGGTTGCGGTGCATTGCCGGCACGAAGGAAATGTACACGTACGGCTGCGCGTTTATTTGGCTTCCGCCCTCCGTTACAATGCCACGGGCGCGGCCCGAGTAGCGAGTGCTCCCACCGTGCGGGGCGCCTGGCGCGCCGTCTCCATGTACGGCACCCCATACCGCGTTGTCGGTCCTCATCCTCGGACCTGTCCATGGTGGCGTTCGACTCGTCCAACAGCGCGTCGGGAGGAGCGGTGGGCCGGTGGCGCTGGCCCGGAACCCGGGACACGGTCTACTTCCTGAGCAAGTCCGGCGACGTGGTGGCCACCAAGGCACCAACGTGCAGCGGAGCGCGCCGACGCAACACTCGTGCGCCGTGGCGTGCCGCGGCGGGGACGAGAATACCAGGAGCAGCAGCAGTCGTTGATGCCGCCCCGTCCCGCGGTCGTCATCGATTCGGCCGAGCGCTCAGGGGGCCCCGTCTCGGTGGACGCCTCGCCTGGGGCGGTCTAGTGCTCTACCGGGCTCTGGGGCGCTCGCCGTGGACAACCTGCAGTGTGACTTGCGCGTCCCGCGCGGCAGCTGGAGCGCTAGCTGTACGCCGCCATCGCCATGCACGGCTCCCTGTGCCGCGCCGTCCTCATCCTTGGCGAACGAGCTCCCGGACCTCTGTCACCTCTCTATGGCAGAACGCGTGGGAGGAGGAAGCGGTTACCACGGGTACTCCATTGATGCCTCCCTAGATCTTTGCATCGAGAGATCGTATCTTGCTGAGAGCGCTTGGGTCAGGTAGAAGAAGGAAACAGAGCAAGCAGAGCGCATGAGTAGGCGACTCGCTACGCAGGTTTTAGACGTGTCAACACGTAATAAAACAAAAATTTCCATTTCTCACTCATTGACGGGCAGGGCCCAGTTCTTCATCCCCCTCCACTGCCTCGCCGGAAGTAGAAATGATACTAGTCCGCAGCTCGAGCAGCTGGTCCAACACGGTCGGACACGAGTCGACGAGCTAGGAGTAATTCTCCAATATTTAAATCACGCTCCTTTCAGCTGGGCCGTCGTGAGCCCATCGCCGGGAGGAATGCTCATCTATGATCTAAGCAACCACTAGCTAGATTAGTTCAGTTGTTTCTTACGTTCCTCCCGAACCTGTGGCACGACTGATTCTCTTTCATTGATATTTATTTATTTTATTTCTCAAATAACCTCTCCCAAATTTCACAAAAGAAAATCTCTCATATTTGAATCTTCTTTCCTACTTTCAACAAATCGTCGGAGAATTTAGAGGCGTTGTTCGTCTGGTGTCCGACCGACCACCACGGGTAAGTTCTGCAGTAGTTGCTTCCTCGACTCATTGTTTCTTGTTGCACTGCCCCGCATTTATCGTTGACATCCTATTTTTGCTTTTCCAATAAAATGTAGGTTGCAGAAGGTTAGAGCTAACCTAGTAAAATATAAAGCAACCTATCAACTACTTATCTATGCCGACAAGTAATATAGTCTGTCAGCTATAACCGGACTTGCAGGACTTAGCGTAAGATCCCTTTTTTATTGTGCTCCATTTGTTGTTTTCGGTTTTGTCGTGTTCTAATTTAATGTGCTTCTAGACTTGCCTGTCCGTTTCCAGTTTGTTTGTTCATAGAATTGGTATATGCTTGGCCACTATATTTTAGCTTGATTTCTTTCTAATATTTTTAATATGGTATACAACAGATTACATAAATGATTGAAAAGAATATCACAAGATATGAGTAACAAAATTCAATACAACTTTGAATTCAATACAAACACAAGAGTAGTATCGGATAACAATATAAAGTTAGTCGTAGGTTCCAATAATAAGCCAGTGTTTGGATAAGTCGCATATAGTTGTAACAAAGGGTATGACGCCTATTTGCACTTTTTTTTTCTGAGACTATTGTAACATAAGCGTTCGCACAAAGCTTTTCCAAAAAAAAAGACAATGGAGTGGTAATGTTGGAGAGGAAATGCGAATGAATTGCTTGCCATATTTTTTTCTGACCACTACCTCTGCTTGCATATGATGGCTGAAACAAAATGTGGGGTGAGAGAGGCTCGAACTCTCGACCTCAGGATCTCTCACGTTTAGCTATGAGACCTACACGCTAGCCAACTGCGCCCCCCACCACACCTTTTGTGCTTTATAAACTAGAGAGTGTGATATTTTCAAGGACAGAACATATTTTTTTCCCGCTTTCCTATTTGGAAACAAATGGCTAAAACGGTCGTGGTCACTGATCGAGAGGCCCAGACCCGGAGCAGCAACGACGGATGTTACGATCCAACTTCTGTCAAGTCCAATGAAGAGCGTTACAGTGGGGGCAGCGGCGATGGCCATCGAAGGCACCCAAAAAGAGGAAAAAAGGGGTTCCGAAAAATGTCAAATGTTACTTTCAGCCGTAGATACTTTTTACAGTACAAAGTTTGGCTACAAATGGCAGTTACAGATGTTTCTCTATAAAGAGTATTCCGTACATCAAAATTTTGTGCATCTAGAAAAAGTATTACATTGCAAGTGTTGTCAGCCATGAACACTACGGCCCTAGAGAGTGCAAGGAGTCGGCTCCCATGGTTGGCCATCTTCTTTCTCTGACCAGAATGACTGTCTGAATTCGTAAGCTACTTCCATGGTGAAAAAACAAGGAACGTAGATTCATTCATTCATAGGTTCCTTTTCTGAAAAAATTTATTCATGGGTTGGAAAGTACTTTCTGTTTCTGTTTATAACACAGCAGCTTGTTGGATGATGATTTTGTCGTCCTTCCATGTAATCCTTTAGATTTTCTGGAAAAATCAGTATAACAAAAACATTCTATTTGGTTCATTGATTGTGTTGTACATGTAATGAAGTAGTATGGAACTGCAAATGATTTCCCTTCTTCAGCAGGCAAGATCATGATAAATCATGTCAATCAGGGCCTAAAAATGTTTTGGATGTAGAAGTTTTGCAAAACTGAAGATCCAACAGTGCAGACTCTGTCGCTCTTTGTGCCATTCCTCCATGCTAGATAAGAATAGAGCAGTTACTCTGACAATCACCCCATTTTTCTGCCCATTGCTCTGTTCTGCCCTTCATCGTTGCCATCATCATCCCCAACCCATTTCTCGCTTGGTTGCCTGCGCACGAGAATCCACTCTGACAGCGTACATGCTTGTCGCCGGCGGAAGGCATTACCGCGATTCAGCACGCGGCCGTGCCGCCACTGGAGAAAACTCCATCAAAGCGTGCAGCGGTTGCAGAACTCTGGCTCCCTCGCGTTCGCGGATGCCGAAGGAGACGAAAACATGCCCTCCCTGTGCGAGCTCAAGTGGCGCAAACCTCCGGCGTCCCACGAGGTCAGCCGAAAGCTTGTTTGTGGGGACGGGCTCGGCGATTCCGGCTGGGCCGGAGGCGGTTAAGAGGGCGGCGGAGCCGCCGTCGGCGGACAGGAGCCGGGATGAAGAACCGATCCAAAACCAGGGGTCTTTCTGCAAAACTTTGGAACGCAATTATTAATCGTGATCCAAATATTTGCACATAAGCCCCTGAATTGGATCGCGATTAATAACCGCGATCCAAATTAGGAGGCATTTTGTAAATATTTAGATCGCGATCATTAATCGCGATCCAACCAGGGGGTGTTGTGAAAAAGTCCAGACCGGCGGCGACATGTCACTCGGCGAGCGACGAGGCCGCGCTGCCCCCGGCGACACCCGCGAGCCCCACCGCGAAGCACCCCGCGCTCTCCGGCGCCCGTTCCCCTGCCGCGGTCGTCCCGCGCGTCGGTCGTAGCCCTAGCTCCCCGTCCCAGAGGCGCTCCCACGCCGGCAGCGGCGGCGGCGGCGGCGCAGTCGCGATGAACGGTGGGCGGCGGTTGCCAATGCGCTCTGCACTCCAGCCACGGCTCCGCTCCTCGTCGCCCCCTGCTAAAGCTACCGCTGTAAGGAAACACAGGACAGAGTCGCCCGCCACTTTTTTGTGGAATGAGTCCGTTCTGCAGTCTGCAGATTAGCTTGTTCCAACTCGACGACGGATGCGACGCAAATCAAGCAGCGTGGACACCTTCGGCTTTTGGATCGCCCCTTCTTGCAAAGCAAACACGCTGATGACTGATGAGCTTGTTGGTATTGAGTCACGGCATCGTCTTGAAGTTGAAATCATCCGATCCTATATCTGAACTGAACCTTTGCGTCGACAGTCGACACAGTTTTTGTCGCTCTTTTGTTTGATTACATATAACCGGAATTATGTCGCTTTGCAGACGATGAACTGATAGTTCAAGCTTCCAGATGATTGAACTGCAAACAATTATTTTGCATCGATCACCGATAACAAATACAGTCCATATCATTCAAACTCAAAGGCCAAGAAGGCAAGAACTGACAAGCATCAACCGCAGCACACACGTGTCCGTAGCTAGCTTCTAACACTTGGCGCGCGCGAGTTCCTCGATGAACCTGTCAAGGTTCACGCTTGACGACCCGCCGGGCGCAACAGCCTCCTTAGCCTTCACCTTCCACTCAGCCGCCCTCCGCCTCACCTCCGCGCCCCGTCCCTCTCTCCCCATCAACTCCCGCACCGCGGCCTCCACCTCTTTCCTCCCCACCTCGCGCGGCATCTCCAACCCAACGCCCCACTCCTCGCACGCGTACCGGCAGTTGGTCACCTGCTCGGAGAAGAAGGGCCAGCACAGCATGGGCACGCCGGCGCGGACGCTCTCGAGCGTGGAGTTCCAGCCGCAGTGGCTCAGGAACCCGCCCGTGGCGCGGTGGCCCAGCACGGCCTCCTGGTCGCACCACCCCGCCGTCATCCCGCGCCCCGCCACCGCGTCCTCGAACCCTTCCGGCAGCTTCCACCCTTCTCCGCCATCGCCGTCGCGCACCATGTCCGGCCACACCACCCACAGGAACGGGCACCCCGCGGCGGCCAGCCCCCACGCGAACTCGTCCATCTGCTCGCGCGTCACCACCGTGATGCTCCCGAAGTTAACGTACACCACCGACGCGTCGGCGTGGCCGCCATTGTCCAGCCACGCGAGGCACCGGTCGTCGGCCTTCCAGAGGCTGGAGGTGAGGGACGGGAGGTACGACGGCGGCGCCACCTCCGGGCCGAGGGGTCCCACGGTGAAGGTGTTGGGGAGGCGGGCGCGGATGGCGTCCAGGGCGCGGCGCTCCAGCGCGTCGAAGGTGTTGAGGAGGATGCCGTCGGCGGCGGGGGAGTCCAGCTCGCTCTGCTTGATGTTGATGGTCAGCATCGTGTCCTCCGCGTCGGTGGTGCGGATGAACGTCGGGAGGTCGCGGAGCCGGCGCTGGGGAGCATGCCGGCGATCCAGTCCACGGGAGTGTCCAGGTACCCGTTGGTGAAGCAGCTCTCGTCTGTTTGATTGTTTGCACGCGTACGTCATGCATGCCGTGTCCGCAACCAGTAAAACAAACAAAATTACCGTATATAAGTCAGGATCACTTCTACAGTGTTCAAAATGACAAATTCAGGCGGATCACATAAACAGCTGCGCAATATGCATGTGATGATGTGAACGTGCACCAACTTCACATCGTTACGTTGATGGCTGTATTATATATATACAACCAACGAAAATCATTGATGCTTCATCTTGTTAGCTAGCGTAGGTACTAGGTATATAGCTTGTTGTTTGTAATGCAAGCTCCACGTGCTATATGCTACTAGGATAGTATCATTCTCTGGGAGAAAGCATATGGCTGCGCTCTACAAAAGCAACGTGGCCCCGATTGTTCAATGCTTGTTGGCTGCATTTGACAAGTTGCGACCACCACAGAATAAAGATATGCTTGTTATTAAAAATACTTATTACTATATAGTATGAAACTTCACGCTCTTGTTATTATTTCGAATCATCGTCTTGTATCTGAAATTTACTGGGACAGCATTGGCACCTCCGTTTGCTGGATCTTCTAGGCACTCTAAAGCGCTTGCCACATGCTATATATCTTATCTTAAATGTCAACATCGGTTCCAGGATGGTGGCTGAATTCAAGGGCGCGTTCGGGGTCATAGTTTAGAGCCTCTAAAATTTAGCTCTAAAGATAATCTTATTATTTAGAAGTATTAAATAAAGTTTAATGATAAAATCTTTTTACAGATGGGTACATCTTTACGAGACGAATCTAATTAGCCTAATTAATCTATGTTTTGCTACAGTGATGCTACAGTGATGCTACAGTAAATATCGTCTAATCACGGCTTAACTACCCTCGTTAAATTCGTCTCGCGATTTAGAGGGGGGTTCTGCAGTTAGTTTTGTAATTAAAATTTATTTAAGACAAGATTCTTTTTGTTTAGACCTCTCTAAATTTTAACCTCTAAAACGCCGAACGCGCCCCAAGTCAGCTTCCATCCAGTGTATAAAAAAAATATAATCAAAGCTTATTATTTCATAACAATCCAATTGGTGTGGTCCAATCATAGAGTCAATCACAGGTAGTATCTACAGCACAACCTACAATCCACTTGATGTTTTTTATACGATGATTTTAACTTCATATGGACTATGGAGTAGAATATGTTACAGTTGCACATACGGGGCTCAAAAAGAGTTGGACTTTGATGGCGATATGCCACTAAACCCAGTCAAAGATGACTTAAAGTCAGTGCAAAATATACATTAAGCAATAACTAGTTGCGATCTAATGGTAGGCTAGTTTTAGTAACGTGTAAGAAAATGTATCTTTGCACTTATCTACTGCGAGCATTGAAAATTTGAAAGGGTCTGGCCATCCAGGCCAAAATGAGTGTGAGATAATCTTTTCTATCTGTCGTCTCCTAAAGATTCTCCGTCAATGTGATTTTCATGTGGACTAGGAAGTCGCTGTATGATGGGACGCAACATTTTATATTTTATATATATGTTATTAAAGAAAACTCATGAATAGATGACCCCGATCAATAATAACATGGCCAAAGAGATCAGATTTTCTTGCAAGAAAAAGAGCAAGTTTCGGGATGAACTTCGAACATTGCGCACAATTTAAGCATCCATAAGCTAGATCAATTCATCAAGAACCTACTATTAGAGTATTAGTTAGACTTAGTGACGGATACCCAAATCAGGGTATCCTGATCTAGGATACTTAATTCTGCTAACCGTCTCAGCTTAATTGTGTAGGGCTCACA